TATATAAGTTGTCCCAGCAGTAATAAAACCCTAACTGAATTCGGAAGCTTATTGGGCGCGTTAAAAATAAAACTTCACTGCCAGTGTGCACTTGTTTACCTGCATGATGTAATAATACCTAGACGTTTTCCCTGCTTAGATACTATCCCTCGCATCCACGTAAATCACATAATTCCAGCAGCGTGGTCGAATCTAAAATCTTTCATTCTTAACCCCATTCATACCCACTCGTTACCATCATATAACAACTTTTCGGAATGTATTAATCCAAATTGGTCATTGACTATTCCGCATTTAAATTTAACCTCCCCGAATAAACTTCTCCAAAATTTTGTCGCAAATATTCCAGAATCACCACAAATTTTTTCTTTTGCGGACAGTTATGGTGTACATACATCCGCTACTTTAGTTGTTTGGAATTTAATCTTAACTGTTTTATTAATATATATATTTTGGAAATCCAACCACCCAGCGATAGCCTCCCCCAACCAAACATGTAACCCTACCACCTCCCTTCTACTACAAGGGGGGGAAGCCGTTAGGATAACTGTAGATGACGCGTCGTAAATTATATATATTATCACCTTGTGGATCTTGTCTTAATATTTGGACTCTCGATTAAAAAGATCGTTAGACAAATGCTGAGGCAATATCTGTGCAGGTCGATTGAAGCCTGCAGGCATATATGTATTACCCATATATAGGTTATATGTAGATAATAAGTAGTTGTCCACTGTTTTATATTTTAGATCGGAGATTGAACATAGATTTAGAAAGTTATTTAGATATTGTGTACTGGCTTCGCTTTATCTATTTTGTAGGAGTATAAGGTAATTCTAATGAATGAACTTTTTTTTTATGTTCTGGAACCGGGTCTGGCAACGGGAGACACCTACCATACATAAGGCGTTCTTGCTCGAGACAGAACCAGCATGAAAAAAAAAAAATGGGCCCTGACATCACTCTCGCATACGACGCTCTCGTTCGAGAACCAAGCTTCTACGACGACGAGTTCTCCTTAAAGAAGACTCCAGTTAACAAGACTGGACTCATAGTGGTTGAGTTTTGCCAAAAAGGAAATGGTGGTGAACGGGACTTCGGCCAGTAAGCAGGGACGTTAAAATAGCGCTCATCAACTGCTGCAATTAGTAAGAGAGTGCCGCTTGTCGCGAGAGATTTTAAAATAGTTGCTTCAAAAGATAAATACCTTAAATCAATTTTTGTCTTATTCAAGTGTGTAAAATGTTGGTAGGGTCTTCCTGGGTATGTCGACCAGAAGAATGTAATTTTGTATCGTTGGGTATCTTTGTTATTGTAGTAAAGTAGGAGTGAAGTCTAATATGATTGTATATTTTATAGGGTTGTGTTTGCAAAATGGATAATTTGTGGCTATGTACGTTTTATGCATTGTATTAGTTAAGAGATATCTGTTTGTAAAACACTGGAGGTCCAGTGTTCCTTAAGGGGGGAGATGTGTCACGGAACTGCTAGTTGCCCTAGTTATGTAAAGATTGCCTCATGCCATGCTTGTGGGATGTCAGCAAAAACCTCTTTTTGCTGGCATTACGGAAGCTTAGGTGGGGGTCAGTGCGGACTGACGAAAGGGGCAGTCGGTACTAACTAGGGACAGGGAGAAGGAAAAAGTGAGAGAAGTGAAGTGACACACCGTACCCCCTAAGGATGGAATTTGTAATGTAAGTTGAAATATATTTAGTTTATTTAATGTATTTGGGATTTTTATTCTTAACGTCGGATCGGGTAATTATCCTTAGCTCTACCAATCTCTCCCCCGACCCGGTCGTGACAATATGTCACATTTTTGATACCTACTTTCTGACATTCCAGTTATACATTATACACTAGAACAATTATGTCCGCAGTTACACAGCTTAAAAAAAAAGTTACCAAATCTAGTTACATCTACCGAACGTGAATTCCTTATACATTATTATTTTAGAACAAATTTCATTACCATAAAAAAGATTATACTGAGTCGACCTTAAAAGATAGACATATGCTGTCGCGGACTTTTCTTTAGAATAATTTTCCCGTTTTTCCGAATTTTTCATTGCTACTTCACTGCTATTGATCGTAGCGTGATGTTATATAGCCTACATGTAGATACGATAAATGGACTATCCAACACAAAAAGATTTTTTGAATTCGAACCAGTAGTTTCTGAGATTAACGCGTTTAATTAAACAATCACTTCAGCTTTATTATATAAGTATAGAAGTATAGATAAATCATTATTCAAGAATAACAATAATACAATACTTTTATTATTAAGATTACAAAGCATCTATCCAAACTGATATATGCGACCTTGCAAAAATGCGGATAACATCAACACAAAATTTTCTTATAAAAAAACTCACTTGTAACAAACGGCTACCACGTTTACTCAAACATTGGATACATATTTTTATTTTAACTTATAATGGTTGCCATAAAAAAATAAAATTCGTAAAATCAAATCTTTTAATTTTTCGAAAGAGCTGGATTTGACAAGCTGTTCTTTATGGGCGAGGGAAGTTCTGTCGAAGTAATCTTCGACCGATTTTTTATTATTAGAACACATTTGAGGTATTATTTCGTAACTGAATAAAATATTGTATACAACCATGGTGAATAAAAATATGTTTAACTCACTTGGTGTATAAATAACTATTTTCAACATAAACATGTTTTACAACAGATACCTGCAACAAAATCAAATTCATTGCTAAAGTATCTATTCTTGTTTTGAGCTGTAGGTGATTTTTTTTTTCTATTAAGAAAATCCAGTTTTTGTTTTAATTACAAAACGCCAAGAAATATTTTCTGCAATTAAGCAAGTTATAAATCAAGCAGAAACAGTAGTAAATTGTAACATTCGGCCGTTTCCGCTTCCTGCTCTGAGTTTATGGTTTCTTAGAATAATGCCTTTGCATCAATGCAAAATCGAGTCCTCGGGCGATTTCAAATGTAGCCCAAGGTCACATCTCATTGCACTGATACCTGGAGTGTCTTAATCCCTCGCCTTAGCTCCGATCTAAACTGATAAGAGCAATGATTGCAAAATTTGCGCAATTTTGGCTAATTGGCATATAAAGCAGGCCTGTAGTAAATAAAGAAGTTCGACAACTTCAAAAAATTATACAATATAATAATAATTAATGAAAACCGCATTTCTAGATAAGACTTGTGTCTCATAAATAAATATAAAATATACTATTATGTTATAGGTTATGACTATGACAACTTGGTGCTTTTAGTATTACACAACCTATAAAATGTGACTACATAAAGAATAATTTTATTTAAGCAAACAATCAGTAAAATAATGTTTAATTCACTTCGGGACTCAGAGTGTGTTGAATGTTTTCCCACACAAAATAAGGAACTTTGTAATTAGGACCGGACTTGAAATTCGCCAGAATCCTCGATTGTAAAGGACGCATGAACAATCGGCTATTTTAATTAGTTATACTTAGAGAATGAAAAAATAAATGAATGATGCAAATATATAAACCAAAAATGGCTCACCCGATTTCAAAAAATTTGGGAATATAGTACTCTTAGGGTTACACTCGTACTTCAGGGCCCCCGGCGAAAATATTTTCGGGCCCCTTTGAATGATATTTTTTTACAAAATCAAATAAATTTTTAGAGAAAACAATATTATTACAAAATTGGGTAAAATTAATTCTCATTGAACGAAGTTTTAATAGTAAAAATGCCGTACAAAAGACACCCTAAAATGAGAGACTAGACGAAAAAATGCGTAACTTATGCATTCTTACATAGTACCAACTGATTATTATTATCTAACAGCGATATACACGACCTCAAATTAAATTTTTTAATATATCTAATAACACTAGTTTACAAGGTTTTATATCCAAAGACAAAAATAGTTGAATCTAAAGGATTTGGGTTCGGGAAATTCAAATCTGAAAGCAGAAAAAATCCATCACGTCAGGTTTTTGAGATATTTATATAAACATACCCCGGATTTTTTTTCTTTTATACAACTCTTATAACTTTTTTATTTTTAAATATATATGAACATATAGTTCTTTAAGCAAATTTGTATCATTTTAAAAGACCATTTAGGTAAATAAATAACATGAGTGTCAATTTTTCAAGCTACTAGATTGTCATCAATGTGTTATTTAAAATTATTGATTTTAGAATAATTGGTTGCTTTTGACTTATCTACGGGAAGTGATAATAAAAGTGTGAGGTTGACCTCACAAAGATCTTTTAAAATGATACAAATTAGCTCAAAGAAATACAGGTTTATCTATAAGAATAAAGTTACAGGGGTTGTATCAAATAAAAGCAACACCCAGTATATATTATAAACATTATGGTTAACACTGACGTTCTTTTATTGGCAGTACTGTCAGTTTCCCTTATAATAGACCAACAGTAACACATTTTCGTCCCAAAAACCTTTATACCTTCATTTTAAGCATATTTGAACAGGTCTTCCCGCTTTAGGTACTATAATTTTACCACAAATGTAACAAAACTGATTTGCACTTACTTTCCACGATCTCGAAGACATTTTTAATGCGACAATTGTGCATTAACATGAATCAGTTTAACACAAACGTGAAGGTAAAGCAAAGTTCATTATTTTGGATTTATGAAAAAACCTGACGTGATAAGGATTATCCGTTTTTGGATTTGTTATCAGTAAGTAATTTAGAAGTAAAAAATATTTTTTTTATTTTTGGATACGAAAAAAAGTTTAAATTTGTAAACTAGTGTAATTGGAAAATTTTTATCACACTAAAATCCACATATTTTGACAAAAATATTACCACCGCTCTCATAGATAGTTAGTCGTACATCATATAACTAAGGTACAATTATTGCATAACACATCACTATTGATTTATAAAGATAATAGTCTCCAGCATCAAAGGGCGTCATACCCCCACCAAAAAACAAAAATCTCTTATAAAAGCCAAGGCTGACCCATAGTACTTCAGATACGCACATCAAAATGAAGACCATAGCTGCTCTTACTACCTTCGTTATTTGTACTTTTTTTTTGTGTAAAGGTGCGGAAGCGAATGTTAAACAGTGTTATTACTGCTTACTCAGATGCGATGATCCTATAGCAATCAGAAATTGTTCCAACGTAGAGGGAGATACATTGACATACAGCTGTATAACACAAGCATTTTCACAAGGTAAAAATAGAATTCATTTGTACCTACCATACATTGTGTTAAAATAATGTACATTCTAAATTTTATTGTTAAAACTTATACCCTTTTTGTTTGTCTTTTTGTGTAGATGGTGTTGAAGTGGAAAATAAAGGTTGTATACTAGCTAATGACAAAACTCAAGTTGTTGCATGTGACGCCATAGAAGCACAAGATGGAGGTCACTGTAATATCTGTGACGAAGATTTGTGTAATTCAGGAAACATATACACATTTACTTTTGTTTTACTATCCGCAATGATAATTCTTTGTAAAATGTTGTAAATTACTTCATTAATAATAATCTTTAATAAAATTAGTACATAGAAAAACTCCCTACTTATTAAATATACCCTTCATGGCATTCCAAAATACATAAGTTTTTTAGACTTTACGGCTTGCAAGAAAATTGTAGCTGGTTTTTACTAAACTTTGATTAATTAAATATACAAAAATGTTGACTTATGTCAAATAAAATGACGCATCAGTGTTAATTAGTTATGTATAAACAATAGAGACAATCCTTAAAGCTAGAACTACGTAAACCTAACTTTATTAAAATTGTTGTGTATTTCATAACAAGTTGTTATTTGGTGCACGCTCTGATACAAGTAACAACATATTTTGCTTTTAAAGGTATTCATTTATTATCTGTGTTATCTATATGCAAACCCTACTTCTCAATTTGGCACATACAGGTTGCTTTTTTATTGGCTACGTCGGACAATTTAATATCAGTCCTGAAAGTACCTGGCAACAAGAAAATATCGACAAAACAAGGATAAAGTGCTGGGTACACATTTCATTACCCCCTACATTCAGAACCATAAATTTTCATTGAAATAGATAGTATAGTCGGATTTGAAATTACCAAATTAGTGACGTGACACTACGTTATGTCGTTTCTGCAACATTTATTATCAACAAATAAATAAGCTATGACGAATTTTAGCTATTTGGTTGTTTGGAATATTAAACACAATGTTATAAAATAAGGTTTTCAAATTTTAAAACTGACATTGTTTTACAAAACTTTTGGTGCAATTCATTTTGAGCTACAAAGTCAATTTTTTTTTTCAAATATAAAGGGTAAAGGCATTAAAACATGTCGCATACATCATCATATTATAAAAATCGATTGGTCTCACACCTTTACCTGTAAATACAATATATAGAGGCATAACTTATGTAACAAATGTTTTCATAAAAAAAAATGAGATAGTTATATTTACTTTATCTAAAAATTAGTGGAACAACAACAAGTACACATTTTATAACACTAACAACAAGATGGAAGCAAATCAAACTCGAACTATTTTGTGGAGCAAAATTTCGACTTAACAACCGATGATGAAATGAAACACACCGAAAACACATTTTCTAATTTTGATTAGATATTTCATCTGGAATCTTTTTGTTGTATTCAGTTACAACACAGTTACAAGTTTGAATTCGTATTTACAAAAAGTAATCTAGTAGCTATTTACGTATACACGAAAAAATTTTAAAACATGAAATGAGAGTCGTCAAAACACTTATTGCTATCCCTTTCTTTGCTGTCGATGAGAAAGTAATAATATAATTTACTTTTTTTTTTAATTTCGTCGTTGTGTGATAAAAAATGTCCTGACATTCATAACCCTATACAAATAATCATCAAAACTTAATCATTTTTCTAAAATACAACAATGTTCTCTATGAAGTGGATACAATATAGGTTATTTCTTATCCATTATACTCGTATACCGAACTACCGTGTGTGCGTTATATTCACTTTTTATCTTTTCGAGTACATAGGGAGTGGATTAGATTCTAAAACGATTTAGACAATTGAAGATGTCATTTGGCCCACACCGGAGATTATATTTGTTTTTTATCAAGTATCTCTCAGAATGGCATTTAAAATAATAGTATAACTTTAACTTGAAAAGTTTTTTTTGTTTTTACCATGCGGCTTTACAATTTGTAAAAAACGAAAATGCAAGTTTCCTTTTCCGTCCGTCTGTTAAAAGTAAGATTTTAGCAATTAATGTGCTTATATATTCCTCCCAAAAATCATTCAAAAAAAAAATGGTCGAAAGGGTTAAAGAATTTTTAAAGATTTCAAAGTATTCAGTTTTGCAATTCTTGATTTAATCAAAAAAATAAATTGACTCAGTCATTAATTTGTTTCAGACACCCCGTATAAGCAAATCTAAAAAATTTTAATGCAGTGATAAATCACAAGTGTAGACTCATCATTGGGGTGGCGTTATCAATTTTTTAAGGGGGATCAGCAAACACATTTTGATCAAAAATTTGATAACTTTAAAACTTCTCCAAGATTTCAAAGCATTTGGTTCTGTAGTTCCTGATTAAATCAATAAAATAAATTCACGCATTCATTAATTTTTTGAGTCACCCTGTATAAGCAAATCCAAAAAATATGAACAGAATAATAAAACACAAAAAGAGACTCATCGTATTTTGCATATTTTAGATAGGATTTATTCAGCAAAACTTTGGGATAGCGTCATCAGTTTTTTAGGGGGGATGAACAAATACATTTTGATAACAAATTTACCATGCTTATGATAAATTTAAAACCTCTCCAAGATTTCAAAGCATTCGGTTCTGTAGTTCCTGATTAATTCAATAAAATAAATTCACGCATTCATTAATTTTTTTGAGTCACCTGTATATGCAAATCCAAAAATTATGAATGGAATGATAAATCACAAGAAGAAACTCATCATATTTTGTACATTTTAGATAGAATTTATTCAGCTAAATTTTGGGGCGGCGTCATCAATTTTTTAAGGGGGATGAGCAAATACATTTTGATAAAAAAAATTACAATTTTGATTTTTTTTTCTGTCTAATAAAAATCCGTGACGGCAGACAGACGGACAGACGGATAGACGAACAGACGGACAGAAGGACAGACGAACAGACGGACAGACGAACACGAGTAGCGGTAAGTCCTCTATTTCTTGTTTCTTTCGGCCAATTTTGTCTTAACGTTTTTTCTAAACATCTAAAACTTTGGTGGGATGAATGTCCCCTATCGGGATATCTTATTTCGTAGAGATTTGCTGCTGGAACAGCATTTTTTCCGCATTCTCTAAAAATCAAGCTCATCGTTCCTATATTTAACCCTCATCTTATCGCGAAGACTAAATACTTATCGGAGTTCAAAATTGACAAATAGAATTATTGCGCAAGTCTAAATTAACTATTAGGTAACTATGTTTGTACATTTTAGAAAAATAAAATATAAAAAGAGTTACATATGAGTATGTTTTTTGTGTTGCATTGAAATTTGGTGAGGGTCCCGTTATTATAATACTCACTCTGTATATACAAACACAAACATGGTTTGATTACAGTTTACTGTAAAACTTGAAGCATACGTAGATAGCAACTTGAGGAAAAAGGTAGAATAAGAACTTGTAATTCTGTGTCATAAAGGTTCCATTCTAAGTCGGAATAATGTATTCTCACAATTTAAAATAGTTTAAAAACAGTAAAATTAAACCCTAGCCAATCACTAAACAACATACTCAATTTTCTGCCTCATCAAGTTATCACAGTACACCCCTTCAATCACAGGACTAAAATATCATTTTAAGTATCATAAGCATTAAGTCCTAAGATATTTTAAAGTTATTACGATTTTTGTTTTAAAAGACAAGAATTCTTAGGCCAAAAATTTTCCGATGTGTGAGACATGACACTGGTATTTTTGTATTTCCTCTTGATGTTACAAATGGTTCAATACCTAGAGCTCTTATAGACATATGAGATAGATAGATATAACAAACAGAAAACCACAAGTAAAAATATAGACAAATTTAGACACAGTTCACAATTACTTGAAACAAAAATAGGCATTCCACAAAGCAGTACATTAGGGACCATTGCTTTTTATTATATTTAATAACGACATCTGCAACAATGTAAGAAACTTTGTTTTATTCGTACATGACACTAGGTAACTTTATGACAGCCAAAAATCACCAGTGACTCACATCTGAAACGGAAAAATCCAACGGAGAAGCCACAACTTGCCATAAAGCAAATTGACTCCTACTCAATAAAGACAAAACGAATATTCTAAAATTTCAAAATATACACAATCAAGAAGCAAAGAAGTTAGGTTTTTTGGGCGAATCTATATCGATGAAAACTTTTGTTGGACTTAAGTGAAATAGTTTTCCTCTTCTCAGACTTTATAACCATAGTTGATTTTAGAAATTCAGATGCGACGTTGCGAAGTTATTCCAATTTGCTTGAAATTTTTTAGCAATGGAAAAACATTACGCAAGCTGAAACAATCGTAAATTGTGACATTCGGTCGTCTCGGATTAATGCTCTGAGTTTGTTTCTTATAAATTTGTATCAATGCAAAATCGAGTTCTCGAGCTATCTGAAATGCAGTCCAAAGTCATATCTCATTATACTTGCACCTGGAGCACCTTAATCTCTCACTTTAGCTCCGATCTAAACTGATAAGAGCAGCGATTGCAAAATTTGTGCAATTTTAGCTAAATGGCATATAAAGCAGGAATGCAGTAGGTAAAGAAGTTCGTCAACTCCAAAAAATTGTACAATATAATGAATGAAAACCGTATTTCTAGAAAAGACCTGTGTCTCATAAATAAATAATACCATTATGTTGTAGCTTATGATAACTTGCTGTTTTTAGTATTCAATCATTAAAATAATTTTTAATTCACTTCCTGACTTTAAAAGTGTGTTGAATGTTTTCCCGCACAAAATAAGTAACTTGTAATCGACCAACCTCACTCAGTTGTAGAGGAGGCGTGAACAATCGACTGTTTTCTTTGTTATTTTGTTGTGTATGGTTGTTGTGAGCGACACCTTATTTAGAATTAGTGACACAGAATGAAAAAATTAATGAATGATGCAACTAAATCAAGAACGACTTACCCGATTTCAAAAAATTTGGGAATATAGTCCTGTTAGTGACACACCCCACCTGTACAAATTGATATACTTGTCCTAACTAGAATCCTGTTGACGTTATCACAATTTTTGCAAATTCACTTGAAACATGCCATTTCTTTACCTATTCTTTACTATACAATACTTCAGTTATAAGCTATAAGGATTATCATAAAAAAAAATTAAAATTGCGAAGGCCTTAATTAATCACTCACTCTGTAATCGGCTTTTTTTAAAACATTTTTGTTTGCTACATTTTTAAATATATTAAAATTGTTTAACATAGTATTTGGAAAATTTTTATCACTTTAAAATCCACATATTTTAACGAAAATATTACCACCGCTCTCATAGATAGGTCGTAGTCGTTCATTATAGAAGTACAATCAGTGCATAACACGTTACTATTGATCTATAAAGATAATCTACAGAATCAAAGGGCGTCACACTCCCACTACAAAACAAAAATTCCTTATAAAAGCCAAGGCTGACCCATAGTACTTCAGATATGCACGTCAAAATGAAGACCATAGCAGCGCTTACTACCTTCGTTATTTGTACTTTTTTTTTGTGCAAAGGTGCGGAAGCCAATGTTAAACAGTGTTATTTCTGTGAAGATAGGTGCGATGATCCTATGAAAATCGCAAATTGTTCCAGCACAGAGGAATACAACTGTATTACGGTAGCATTTTCACAAGGTAAAAAATAGAAATCATTTGTACATACCATACATTGTGTTAAAATTATGTAAATTCTTAACTTTTATTGTTAAAACTTATCCCCTTTTTTGTTTGTCTTTTTGTGTAGGAGGTTTTGAAATCGAAAGCAAAGGTTGTATACCAGCTAATAACAATAATGTGACAGTTCAATGTGACGCCATACAAGCACAAGATGGAGGTCACTGTAATATCTGTGACGAAGATTTGTGTAATTCAGGAAACATATACACATTTACTTTTGCTTTATTATCCGCAATGATAATTCTTTGTAAAATATTGTAAATTACTTCATTAATAATAATCTTAAATAAAATTAGTACATAGAACAAGTACCTACTTATTAAATATACCTTTCATCGCATCCCAAAATACATAAGTTTTTTAGACTTTACGGCTTGCAAGAAAATTGTAGCTAGTTTATACTAGCTACAATTTTACTACAAGAAAACGGTAGATACAAACCTTAAAGTCAAAATAATGTAAACTAATCTTTATCAAAATTGTTGTAGGTATATTTCATAAAAAGTTGTTATTTCATGCACGCTCTGCTACAAACAACATATTTTGCTTTTAAAGGTATTATTTTATTATCTGTCTTATCTACATGCAAAACCTACTGCTCAATTTGGATCAGAACAGATCATTTTCAAAATGTTTATTCCATAAATGTGTGGGCTGGTATTATTGCAGACTATGTGTTTGGCCCATACTTCTTCGAAGGCAACTTAACAGGAGGTTATTAGAAAATGTTCCTTTCAACCTCCGACAAGAGCTGTGGTTTCAGCAGGACGAGGCACCACCTCATTATCACAGAGTTGTTAGGCCCTATTTTGATGTAACCTTAACACCTTTAGATCTCTTCCTCTGGGGGGTTGTAAAAAAACAAGTTTACCGAAGTCCTATTCGTAATTGTGAAGATTTAAAAACCAAAATTAGAAATGCATGTGCTGCAACAACTCCTGAAACACTGGCCCGCGTCCGGTTGTCTTGCGTAAATCGCATCGAAATGTGTTTCGCAGGAAAGAAGGCATTTTGAACAGTACTTACGCTAGTTAAATTTATTTATTACATTTCTTTCAATTAATATGTTGGTGTTTTTTTAATATTTCATTTGTGAAATTTTGATGGACGTCTTTCAGATACAGTGACAACTACTAAGAAGAGTAAGTTCCTTCGTTGATCCTAAAAACGTATGTGTTTATTTTGATATCTAGCAATAACTGATATATGTACGTTGTTGCATTGAAAATTGGTCAGGGTCCCGTTATTATAATACTCACTCTGTATATACAAACACAAACACGATTTGATTAGTTTACTGTAAAACTTGAAGCATACCCAGATAGCAACTTGGCGAAAGAGGTAGAATAAGAACTTGTAGTTCTGTGTTATAAAGGTTCCATTCCAAGTCAGAACAATGTACTTATTCTCACAATTTAAAATAACATAATTTAAAAAACAGTAAAATTAAACCCTAGCTAATCAGTGAACAACATACTCAATTTCCTACCTCATCAAGTTATCACAGAAAACAAGAACCATTAATCTTTAATTGTCAATTCTCAAATATAGACTTAAACCGTAAATATAGCTTTAAAGATTTAGGAATAATTTTTGATGCAAAGTTCACCTTTCTTGAATTTTTTTTTTTTATACGAATATCGTCTCTCAGGCCTACCAAATGTATGGCTTTATTTGTAGAAATAGCAAAGACTTTAGCGATGTCCGTACCTTGTGTAGTTTACATTATGTTCTTGTAAGATCAAGATTAGAATATGGAGTGATTATTTGGAATCCGATATACGAAAATCATATAAATAGTTTAGAAAGAGTACAACGCAAATTCTTGAAATTTTTAGCTTACCGTCTGGACACCCTGAACGAAACTTTGATCATGTAGCACTACTAAACTTGCCTGAAGGCTTCACGAGGGAGGAAGTATTGTGGCTGTGGTGAAAGAAGTTATTTAGAGAAATTTTAAAAGTGTGCAGTTTGACCCTCCGACCACCGTAAGTACCTTTTGAGTCGTCTGCCCTTTTGGAATCGCCTCCCCCGAGCGTAAAACCGTACCACCGTCACCGTTTTTTTTTTTGTTGTTGTCACCGTCACAAGTCGTAACCGTCGTGCACGCGTCGTTACCGTCACGGCGCTCCCCTCCCGGATCGCCGTACCGTCTTCGTGCCATTTCCAGGTTCAAGGTTGTCGCCCCCAAGTCCAGGAGGAGCCCGTCCTGAAGGAAATCGCCGCCCAGAAGGAACAAACGTGCCGGACGTTGAATTCTTTTTGTTTATTTAACTTGTACTGTAGTTATTTAAGTCTTACCTAACCGTAAGATTTATTATTTTAGACAGTGTAGCTGATGGCAGGGAATAAACCCTATTTATTATTATAAAATATTCTTGGCGTTTTATTTTTATTCTCGTGTTTTCGCGGGCGCTCACTGCTTGAATTCCGTGTCTCCGGTTTTAGAGCATCCCGGCGCTCCCTCCCCCCGAGCGATCGCCGCTCCTGACCGAAGGCGCGACCCCCGGTGGTGTGAAGGTCGCTGGATAAGCTTGGTCGGCTAGACGTTATATCAGCGACACTAGTCGACCTAAAGCTTGGCACCCAAGTACGCGGACACCACACGTTATCGGCGAGATTCCGGACCGGCACCGTTCGTCCCAACCGGAATTTCGTCGCAGACTCACATCTGAAACGGAAAAATCCAACGGAGAAGTCACAACTTTCCATAAAGCAAATTGACTCCTAATCAATATAACAAAACGAATATTCTAAAATTTCAAAATATACCTACACAATCAAGAAGCAAAGAAGTTAGGTTTTTGGGAATCCATATCGATGAAAACTTTTGTTATACTTAAATGAACTAATTTTTCTCTTCTTAGACTTTACAACCATAATTTATTTTCGAAATTCAGATTACGTTACGAAGTTATTCCAATTTTCTTGAAATTTATTAGCAATGGAAGGGTTCGAAGAAATCGCAATATAGTTATTTTTAAAATTTCAAAAATTAGGCAAGGTATAAATCAAGCAGAAACAATCGTAAATTGTAACATTCGGTCGTCTCCGCTTCCTGCTCTGAGTTTGTTTCTTATGAATTTGTATCAATGCAAAATCGAGTCCTCGAGCTATCTCAAATGCACTCCAAAGTCATATCTCTGTACACTAGACGCAAATTTTTACTGCGTTTACGGCTTTGAGGTTTAAGTACTTTACAGCCGACCCTTCATAAAACTTAGTAGATATAAACAACGTGCCAGGGACGGCCGAGACGCCCAGGACCGGACTAAGAGAATTTTTTTTTTAACGTTTCTTCCGTACCTTAATTATTTCATTATTCATTATTCATAAGATACTGTAAGCAAAAAAGATAAAATATTTAATAATTACAGCCATAGAAAACTGAACCACTAATTTTTTTGAAAAATCAAATAATTTTGACGGTGTCATTGTCCTTTTTTTTCAAATCCAGAGAGTACATTCAAATTGCTATTATATTAAAAATAATACATGACTTTACAAAATTGCATTATTTTTAACGAAACGCACTGGCCACCGTTTTATTCCGCCATATAACGTTTTTTGCAATGAATATTTATAGTTATCTACTACTAAAATAAGAATCAGGTATAACTGAAGAAAGTCCAGTCGTTAAATAACTTCCAAGAAACACTTCTCAAACAATATAATCCTTAATGCCTGTACCTGGCTTCGGAGCGAATTTGAAATCTGGTCGTTACTTGAATTTTAGACACATATTTATACTTTGAAAAAATTACACAAAGAAGCAATTATTAGAAGTGTTACACACTCGAAAATTTGAGAAACAATATAAAATAGACAATAAGGCGCGAGATATGGATTTACAGTGGTTAGACTTCCGCCGTACCATTGCATATTTAACCCTATAGAACTAAGTAATCTGGTCTCAAATGAAAAATAATATAAGAAGAAATAATACGGCACCAAAATTAGTTGTGCAACAATAGACATAATTAGAGAAGAAGCTTCGAAAATAACTGCCGAAACGTGGGCCAATTGTGTACGACATTCCAAAAAAGAAGAAGACCAGTACAGGGCAGGGTTGGTAAAACCGTTAATCATTAATTTAGAAGAATCGAATGATGATGACAATAACTATTTCGATCAATAAATAAGCAGTAGTAGTTAATAAGTAAATAGTTGTGTATGTCAAAATGCTAACTAATTTGCTGTAATCAAAAATGATTGTGTACAAAGTTATTTTGTTTATACGTAAAATAAAAAAATCGAAAATCGCAGTTGTCGGTAAATGCGAAACTCAATCCTGCCCTGTGCTTTTACCAGAAAAGGTTTCTACAGGTAGGTTATCAGTAGAGAGCGGATTTCTAGGTTTAATGCTTTTTGTGAAAAATGTAAGCACTTCAAAACTTTTTTATATCTGTAACTATGATACAATTTGGAGTTATTTGACACATTTTTTTTTTTAATGCTTATTTGCTTTTTCTTCAATTTTATGCATATTAAAACTTATATGCTTATTTAATGCTTTTTTCGACGAATATGAGTTTTAATGCATATTTTGTTCAAATGCCGGCCTTGTCGGGATGACAAATACTTGTTAGTTAGCCGTATCGTATCGTATGCATTTTACCTGGACTTGACCATTAAAGTACACTTACTCAAGACCCTTTCTGTGAGTAGGTTCTGGTCATTTGGGTAATAAAATTTTATTATAGGATTGGAAAAATACTCCATAGATTTTATGACTTTAAATCCATACTTCCGTTGATAATGAATTAAAGCTTTTAACCAGATGTTGTTTTTCGGCATTTTGCGGCAAGACCGTTGAAGATTTTCTAGAAAAAATGAACCATAAAATTTTTCTAATGGAAACTTTTAAGTAAATGAACCGTTTATTTCACAACCATCAGTCTATCGCATCTGTCGTAGTAGTGTTATACGTGGTTCTTCCTTGTTACATGTTGAGTTCTTTTTGGTAATATTACTAATATTTTAAAAGAATGCCGAAAATAAAATCGACGCCAGATGAGTGGATAAGGGATTTTCCAGAATTAAAACTAGAAAACAACAAAATATTCTGCAGAGCTTGTGTGAAAACCGTAAGCCACTAATTTTTTTTTATCTATTTTCCTTTGTTAATCCTGTATATGTACGTTGTTTTAGATTCAAAGTGATAAAAAATATAACGTGACGCAACATGTCAGAACGACTCTTCAAATAGAAAGGAAGAAAATGTTTGAAGTTTCTAAAATTAAACAGCAGACCATACATGAATCTGTTGCATCTACTTCCACAAAAGATGAGCAGTTTTAGTTTAATTTCGATTTATGTAAAATGATGATCCAGTCCAATATACCTTTAAAAAAAATTGGAGAAAGGCCCTCTTCAAGAATTCCTTGAAAAACACTGCAATCGACATATTCCGGTTGAAAGTACTCTCCGAAAAAATTATGTAGCCCCAATGTTTCAGCAAGTTTACAACGAAATTAAACATCGCATTGGAGATAATTATTTATGGTTCGCTGTCGATGAAACAACCGATAGTTATGGAAGATACGTGGCAAGTTTAATTGTTGGAATCTTAAATGAAAATTTCCCTAGTCGAGGGTATGTAGTAAGTTTGAAAATATTAGATAAAACAAATGGCAATACGATTACAAGATTTGTAAATGACAGTCTTACGTCACGATTTTTGCCAAATGCCGTACCGGCGAATAAAATTTTATTGATGATTTCGGATGCAGCTCGTTATATGTTGAAAGCAGGGAATAATGTAAAAATATTGCACCCCAATTTAATTCACTCTACTTGCATTGCCCACGGTTTAAACAGAGTGGCTGAAGGAAGATGTTTGCAGTTTCCTACTGTTAATAAATTAGTGGCCAATGGTAAAAAGATTTTTGTTAAAGCCCCACTAAGAGTGCAACATTTTAAGGAAAGATTTCGAAACACACCATTGCCCCCAGAGCCGATTATAACGAGGTGGGGAACATGGTTACAGGCCACATTTTATTATGACAAATATATCAAAGAATTTGAGGAAGTAGTTACGGAGTTTAGCGAAGATTCTTCTCAATCGATTAAAGATTGCATAAATATTTTGGAAAACAAAGATTTGCGACAAGATCTAGCTTTTCTAAGAAGCAATTATCAATTCGTATGTGAGGTAATAGAAAAGTTAGAAAAACCCAACATGTTTTTGGTAGATGCCATAAACTTAGTGAAAGAATTTAAAAAACAAGCAAACGCAGTAAGGGGTGATATTGGTACTAGAGTATCTCAAAAACTTGACGAAGTGTTAAATAAAAATGCAGGTTTCGGTGTTCTTTCCGACGTTGCTCGTGTTTTACAAGGCCAGAAGGTGGAAAATTTGGAGTTAGATTCAACATTATTTGCAAAATTCAAATTTGCGCCAACAACGAGTGTGGATGTTGAACGCACATTCTCCAATTTTAAACACATTTTAAATGATCGGCGAAAAAATTTTACAGTGGACAACTTGGAACATATTATATTACAATCATAAATTGTTTTAAAGAAAACTGAAATGCGTGTGTAAAATATAAAGTCTAGGATTATTGTAATAACATTTTATCCAAAGTTCTAAGAAGTGTTCTTTGATTTGTAATATGATTATGTTTTTAATGCTTTTTTGCTTAAAATAAAACTTTTTTATTGCAAATGTTGTGCTTATTTAAGCGCTTATTCTTATTTTTTTTTTTTTGCTTAAAAATCCGCTCTCTAGTTATCAGTAAGCGGATTTAAGACATCCGGCTGTGACGGCCTATTGAATTATAATGGGAGTTAAATTGGTGTGAAACCATGAGCGTCTTAAAAATGTTTGCGTCCACTGTAAACTTGTACCTGGAGCACCTTAATCCCCACTTTAGCTCCGATCTAAACTGATAAGAGAAGAGATTGTAAAATTTGTGCAATTTTAGCTAAATGGCATATAAAGCAGGGGTGCAGTAGATAAAGAAGTTCGTCAACTCCAAAACATTGTACAATATAATGAATGAAAACCGTATTTCTAGAAAAGACCTGTGGCGCATAAATAATAAATAATAATATTATGTTATAGATTATGACAACTTGCTGTTTTCAGTATTCAATCATTAAAATAATTTTTAATTCACTTGCTGACTATAAAAGTGTGTTGAATGTTTTCCCGCACAAAATCAGTAACTTGTAATCGACCGACTTTCAAGTTCACCAGAATCCTCAGTGGAGTAGAGGAGGCGTGAACTGTTTTCTTTGATATTTCGATGTGTATAGTTGTTGTGAGCGACACCTTATTTAGAGTTAGTTACACAGAATAAAAAAATTAATGAATGATGCATTTAGGTAAATCAACAATGGCTTACCCGATTTCAAAAAATTGGAGAATCTAGTCCTGTTAGTGTTACACTCTATCTGTGCAAATTTCTATACGTGTCCTAGCTAGAATGTTGTTGACGTTATCACAATATTTTGCAAATTAACTTGAAACATGCGATTTCTTTACTGCACAATATCTCTATTTTAAGTTATGTGAAGTATTATGATAAAAAAAATTTTAATTACAAATGCCTTAGTTAATCACTCACTCTGCAATCGGCTATTTCCACATCTACATATTTAGACGAAAATATTAACACCGCTCCCATAGATAGTTAGTTACACATTATATAAGTACAATCATTGTAAAACACGTCACCACTGATCTATAAAGAAAATAATTTCCAGAATCAGAGGGCGTCACACTCCCACCACACAAACAAAAATCCCTTATAAAAGCCAAGGCTTACCCATAGTACTTCAGATACGCACATCAAAATGAAGACCATAGCAATGCTTACTACTTTCGTTATTTGTACTTTTTTTTTGTGCAAAAGTGCGGAAGCTAATGTTAAACAGTGTTATTACTGCAATGGCAGGTGCGATGATCCTATTAAAAAAGTAAATTGTTCCAACGTAGAGGGAGATACATTGACATACAGCTGTATGACGCAAGCATATTCACAAGGTAAAAAATAGAATAATTTTAACATACCTTACATTATGTTAAAATTATGTAAATTGTAAACTTTTATTGTTAAAACTTATACTTTTTTTATTTGTCTTTTTGTGTAGGAGGTGTTGAAATAGAAAGCAAAGGTTGTATAATAGCTAATGACAACGCTCAAATAATTCTATGTGACGCTATACAAGCACAAGATGGAGGTCACTGTAATATCTGTGACGAAGATTTGTGTAATTCAGGAAATATATACACATTTACTTTTGTTTTACTATCCGCAATGATAATTCTTTGTAAAATATTGTAAATTACTTCATTAATGATAATCTTAAATAAAATTAGCACATAGAAAAACTACCTACTTATTATATATACCCTTCATCGCATCCCAAAATACATAAGTTTTTTAAACTTTACGGCTTGAAAGAAAATTGTAGCTAGTTTATACTAGCTTTGATTACTTAAATATACAAAAGTATTATGGTATATCAGATAACATAACGCATCAGTTTTAATTAGATATGTGTAAAGAAAAAGGTGGATACAAACCTTAAAGTCAAAATTACGTAAACTAAACTTTATCAAAATTGTTGTATATTTCGTAAAAAGTTGTTATTTCGTGCACGCTCTGCTGCAAACAACAACATATTCTGCTTTTAAAGGTATTCTTTTATTATCTGTGTTATCTATATGCAAAACCTAATTCTCAATTTGGCACATACAGGTATACGTTGCTCTTTTATTGGCTACATTAGATAATTTAATATTAATCCTAAAAGTACCTAGCAACAAGAAAATGTGGACAACACAAGGATAAAGTGCTGGGTATACATTTTAATAACCCCTAATCATAAATTTTCATTGAAATAGACAGTGTAGTCAGATTTGAGATTAGGAAATTAGTGACGTGACTCTACTCTTTTCTGTAATATTTAAGTATTATCAACTAATAAATGAGCCATGACAAATTTTACCCACGTGGATGTTAAGGACATTAAACACAACAATGTTATAAAATACGGTTTTCAAATTTCAAAACTAACATTCTTTCACAAACTAACATTGTTTCACTTCAGTTTGAGTTACAAAGTCAATTTTTTTTTAGATAGAAAGGCATTAAAACAGAACGCACATCATTATATTATAAAAAATCGATTCGACTCACACCTTTTCTTGTAAATACAATACATAGAGGCATAACTTATGTAACAAATGTTTTCATAAAAAGATTGAGATACTTCTATTTACTTCATCTAAAAATTAGTGGAACAACAACAAGTATATATTTTATAGCACTAGTAACAAAATGGAAGCAAATAAAACTCGAACTCTTTTATGGAGTATAATTACAGATTAACAACCGATGATGAAATAAAACACACCGAAAACACATTTTTTAATTTTGATTAGATATGCTCCAAAAAATTTTAAAACATGAAATGACTTATAGCTATCCCTCTCTTCGCTGTCGATTTTTTCTAATTTCGTCGTTATGTGATAAAAAAAAGTCCTGACATCTATAACCGTATATAATGATTAAAAATTAATCATTCTTCTAAAATAAAATAATGTTCTCTATTAAGTGGATACAACATTGGTTATTTGCGTCCGTCTGTTAAAAGTATTTTGAGATTTTAGCAGTAGTGTGAGTATGAGTTGTGACGACGCGCTATCCAAAATGTATCTGCTTATATAACAATATCCTTCTTAAAAAATGTAATTACGTCAACTCAAAATTTTGAATAATGTACCTCAGTTGAGTTGGTAGTGTTCATTTTAAAAACAAACATTAAGTCAGGCGTATGGAGAATTGACCCTTTTAGAACATATTCCTTTAATAAATAAATAAATAAATAAATAAATAAATTTATTGCCCAACAGACTTTATCCATTTATAGGACAATATATAGGTAAAGTAAAATAAGATACAGCTCGAGGATATACAGAATTAAAACAAAAACTAATAATTAACACAAAGAACAACAATGTAAATATAAACAGCGCAAATGGTAAACATTACATTAAGGTTAAATAACTAACTAATATGGAATCTGGCAATGACAAGAAAAATTAAATTATGTTATCTTATATCGTAAATTATTATCAATATATTTTAATATTGTATTCAAACTGTCAAAGTGTAAGTCACAATTATGACAAAGAGTGTTAAACTTATGTTGCATATTAGTTAATGGAGCTTTAGAGCCCAAATTAGTTCTGACACGTTCTATGCTAAACGTTAGTGGATACCTAGATTGAGGTCTTGGTACATGAAAACGGATTTGCGAAAATAGGTGTATACAATCAATCTTATTGTGGACTAAATGGTATATGAATTTGATTAGCATTTTAGTTCTCCTAAAACACAAAGCTTCAATATTATAGATAGAAAGCAACAACTCTTGAGACGTACCACGAACAGGATAATTGCCAAACTCTTTATAATGTAGATATTTTATAAATCTACGTTGAACATTTTCCAGTTTTAAAATACTAACATGATAATAGGGGTCCCATATCACTGAGCCGTATTCTAAGCGTGATCGAATTAAACTGTAATAAAGAATTTTTAGGGTCATGATACTGGTAAATGTTTTTGTATTACGTATGACAAACCCTAATGTAGCGAGACTTTTTTTTACAATGTCATCAAAATGATTGCGGAAAGTTAATGCAGAGTCAAAGTTAATTCCTAGATCTTTAATTAAATCAGATCTTTTTAACACAAAGTTATTAATATTGTATTCATATGAGAGTTTATTTACAGATCTGCCATATGTCACCGCTAAACATTTGTCTTTGTTAAGACAAAGACTGTTAATGTCACACCATTGAATTACAGAGTTTACGTCTTCTTGCAAGCGAAGGCAATCTTCGATATTAGAGATTTCAATAAATATCTTTAGGTCATCAGCATACATTAGGCATTCACAGTTTTTTACAGATGATAATAAGTCATTAACAAATAATATAAACAGTAACGGACCTAAATGGGAACCCTGAGGTACTCCAGATGTTTGTAAGATATCATTGGAGGTAAAACCATTGACAACTACTTTATTAATGCGATTGTGTAAATAAGAAGCGAAAAGTCTTTCTAAATTTTCAGAAAACCCTAAACGTAATAAGCAGTAATTTGTGATTAATTCGGTCAAAAGCTTTTGACATGTCCATATATATAACATCGACTTGTTTCTTTTTATCTAAAGAGTTCATCAAATATTGGGAGATAGACGTGAGATTAGTAACTGTAGATCTTCCAGGTACGAAGCCATGCTGAAATTGACTTATCTTTCCATTAACAAGTTTGAAAATTTTATTATAAATAACCTTCTCAAATATCTTGGCAAAATTATTAAGAATAGAGATTGGACGATAATTAGTGACTTCATCTTTATTGCCGTGTTTATATATAGGACAAATTCGGCACATCTTCCAAATGTCAGGAAATACACAGTTTTTTATACTTAAATTAAAGATATATCTCAAAGGATCAGCAAATATGTTAGAACAATCTTTGATTAACATTGCTGGTATATTGTCTAAACCGGCAGATAAGTTAGGTTTCAAATTTTTTATTACATTGAGAATTTCAGATTCGCTTATGGAATTGAGTAAAATGGAGTCACTGTCCACTGATACCTCAGCTGGTGATGGTATATCATTATTTTGATAGACGGACGAAAAGTATTCGGCAAAAACGTTAACAATTTGATTGGGCTTATCATAAATTAGACCATTGGAGCTAATTCGTCCAGAAACAGGAGTCTGTCCTTTCCTATCTTGTACATATGACCAAAAGCGTTTAGGAGTTTTAATAATCTCTTCTTCACAGCTCAGTTGGTAAATACGAAAATCATGCTTGATTTGACTTTTTACTATTTTCCTGATAGCAACAAATGCATCACGTGTTTCTGTTATTTTGCATTTTTTATGTTTATTGTATAACCTCTTTTTTAGGAAAATGTTGCGTTTTAATACAGACGAATACCATTTAGGAAACCTTGCTTTCTTACCTTTAAATTTCGGGACGTGTAGGTCTAAAATGTTGTTATAAAGTTGTTATAAAAGACAAAGCAAGCTTTCTCTACGTCGTTAATGTTGTAAATAGGAGACCAGTCATAAGTTTCTAGCATTTTGTACAGTTCTATAAAATTAGCGCCACGAAAATTGTATTTGGTTGTTAATATGTTATTTTTAAATTTGGAAGGATTCTTAATTGCTAAGCGTATATTTATTTCCAAAGCCGGATGATGGTTATCTTCGTAAACAAGAGGAAAAACATTGCGATTTACTTCACAAAATGTTAAATTATGAAACACAAGATCAAGCATTCTATTGTAGAAATTGAGAACATTATTTGCTTGTGTAAGATTAGCGAAGGATATCAAATCAGTTAAAGCATTGGATTTAATATCACCATTGGGTGTTGTATATTTTGTGGCGTTAAAATCTCCAAGAAGCATAACATGTGACATACAAGGCAGCATAAGTTCAAGTTGAGTACAAAATTCTTGGTATTGTGCAGATGTAATATTTGGGGGTATATAAAGAGCTATAATGTGAAGTACATGAATCCCGGTAGAAATTTTGACAGATACAATATCAATTAATGGATTGAATTCATAAGCTTGACATTGGATAATCTCATAGGAGAACTTGTTATGTATTGCAAGAGCTACTCCTCCTCCTTTCGTACGACCGGTTGCATGGAAGTTCCTGTCACTTCTTATCACATTGTACGCTGAAGGAAAGTATTCAGCGTTAAGGTTACTATCATCAAACCACGTTTCACTAAGGCAAACAATGTCATATTCACATTCACATAGGCTTGTAAAAACTTCATCATTTTTATTTCTAATAGAATGAACATTTTGATAATAAATAGTTAAGTCGACGAGACTGTTGGGCTTTAAACGTTTAAAGACGGCGATATTACTTCCGAAACAGAAGAAATGGTACTTTCAACAATGCGTGGAACACCTTTAATATATTTTATAATTAAGTTGGTTTCACCTGCTGACTGACGTTTACGTAGTTCATCGCGAAGGGTGCTAATATACGCAAGTTGGTTAGGCGTCTTGTCATCAGTCACAATAACACCAAAGAACGAGGATTCCTTTAATTTAAATTTTTTCTTGAGTAACAGTCTGGCAGTTTCAGTATGTTTGAAGCGTTACTTTAGAAGTCTAGGACGATTGCCGGACTTCTTACCAATACGGAAAATGTCCTCTGGAGAAACCGTTACGCTATCATCAATCACCTCCAAGATGTCATTGGCGATATTTACGTCAGAAATATCTGCATCCTCCGGCACATTACGCAAGATTATGTTCTTTGACCGAATTGTTCTTTCG